ACTATATCTGTGGAAAGGGAAAGTTGAAAAGCTCCATATCATCAGTCAACACAAGGCCAGTAGCAGACTGTGCAACAGACCATTAATTGCTCATATGTAAGTTCAGGCTGAAGCTGCAGAAAATTGAAACAAGTCCACAGGAGCCAAAATACGATGTTGAACATATCCCACCTGAATTTAGAGATCATGTGAAAACCTGATTTGATGCATTAGACACTAATGACCGAAGACCAGAAGAGTTGGGGGATGACATCAAGAACATCAGACGGAAAGAAAGTAAAAAGTCATTAAAGGGGCTGGGGATTACAAAGGCAAGAAGTGACTGGTTTATAAGCTTTCAAGAGGGATCCTAGATCCAGAGGGCCTGCAGGAAGGTAGAATCTCCAGTGAGTAGTATTCAATCTGACTAGGCGGGGCTGATGCAATGAAATGCAGATGGGTCTCTTGTGATACAATAGTGAATAATTGTTGTCAGGACTGATTGTGAGGGTCAGAAATGTAAAGGTAGACGTTTTATAGCAAGTTGGGGAGTGATTAACTTTTCAGTCTAGGAGCGGAGGTCCCTAGGACCATCAAGGGAGAAGAGCAGAGAGCGGGACCCTACCCAGAGAAGCAGTGATGCTTGAAATGGAGCCAGAGATGATGACATGGAGTGATGGAGCAGCTGGAGACTTTAGATCCAGAGAGGGAGAGCGACTGTGTGCTGAAGACCTGGGGGGCTGTTTACTGGTGGCCAGGAGACAGGATTGCGCAACGTGCCCTTTGATTGTTTAAATGACTATATATTCCTGAGTGTTTTTGTGTACATCCCTCTCCCAAAAGAAAAGAAAAGAAAACAGAAGGAATACTGTTAAATGATGATGCACGGAAGAGATGGTTATCGTTGCAAAGAAATGATGAGTGCAAAACTGATGTTCTCCAATGTAAACTATCACTCAATTTACAAGAAAAGCTTAAAAAAAAAAAGTCAATGGTACTGAAGGAAGAAGTTCAAGATGCACTTAAGGAATTTATGGAATATAACTTGAAATCTTTCAGCAAATTAGAGACACTCACCTATGCCAAGAAAATTAGAAGACAGCTACCTTGCCAGCTGATTGGAAGAGATCTATATTTGTGTCCATTCCAGATAGAGATGACTCAATGGACTGTAGAAATCATTGGACACTATCATTAATATCACATGCAAGTAAAATTTCACTAAAGATAATTTAAAAATGACTGCAATAGTGCATTGACAGGAAACTGCTAGAGGTTGAACCATGATTCAGATGAGGATATGGAATAAGGGATATCATTGCTGATGTTAGATAGATCTTGGCTGAGATCAGAGAACACCAGAGAGATGTTTACCTGTGCTTGACTATGGAAAGACTTTTGACTGTGTGGATCATGACGAGCTATGGATAAGATAGTGGGGAGTGATTCTGGAACACCTGTGTTCCTGAGGCACTTGTAAATAGACCAAGAGGCAGACATTCAAACAGAACAAGGGGACACTGAATGATTTAAAATCAGGAAAGATGTGTGCCAGCATTGTATTCTTTCACCATACATACTCAATCTGTATGCTGAGCAAATAATCCAAGAAGCTGGATTATATGAAGAAGAACATGACATCAGGATTGGAGGACTATGCAGTAGTTACAACCTTGCTTGCTGAAAGTGAAGACTTACAATACTTAGTGATGAAGATCAAGTACCACAACCTTAAATATGGTTTGCACCTAAAAATGCAAAGAAAGCAAAAATCCTTACCACTAGACCAATAAATAACATCATGATAAATGGAGAAAAAGGTTTAAGTTGTTTCAGACTTCATTTTGTTTGGCTCCATCAACATTCATGAAGGCAGCAGTCAAGAAATCAACTGACATATTGCATTAGGTGGATCTTCTACACAAGACCACTTTAGAGTGTTCAAGAACAAAGATGTCAGTGTGAAGACTAAAATGCACCTGCCCCAAGCCAACGTATTTCCAATAGCCTCATATGCATGTGAAAGTTGGACAATGAATTAGGAAGACCATGGAAGAATTGATGCTTTTGAGTTATGGTATTAGAGAAGAATATTAAAATTACCATGGATTGCCAGAAGAACAAACAAATCTCTGTTGGAAGAAGTACTTCCAGAGTGCTCCTTAGAAGCCAGGATGGCGAGACTTTTTCTCTCATACTTTGAACATATTATCAGGAGCATAATATGTCCCTGGAGAAAGCCATTATGCTTGGTAAAGTGGAAGGTCAGCAAAAAAGAGGAAGACCCCCAATGGAAATGGATTGGCACAGTGGCTGCAGCAATGGGCTCAAGATTAACAATGATTCTGAGCATAGCTCAGGACTGGGCCATGTTTCGTAGTGTTGTGCATACGGTCACTATGAGAGCTGACTTGATGGCACCTAACAACAACCACAACAAGCTATAATTTCGATCTTTTTAAAAATGCCATATTGCTACTGTGTAGAAATCTTTAAAGTCAGTTTGTCCCTGAGTGGAGCAAATGGTAATTGTGCTTAACTGCTAGAAAGATTGGAAGTTCGTGTCCAGCCAGATGCACCTTGGAAGAAAGGCCTGGTGATCTTCTGAAAAATCAGTCATTGAAAATACAACAGAGCACAATTCTACTCTGATACACATGGGGTCGCCATAAGTCAGATAGACTTGATAGCAACTCATTTTGATGGTCACTTAAAAAAAAAATATATTCAGACCTAGGCATTGTGGACCCAGAGCCCACACCCTTTACCACTGGACTTTCGTGCCTCTCTTTAAACCTGGGTGTGACCCAAAAGGTGAGCCTTCACTGTAAAGGGAGTCAGAAGAAAGGAGGCCAGCTACCTGAGGTATGGTATTCTAGGGGCTAATAAAACCAGTATGGCAAACATAGTGCCTCTGTTTTAACACTGCCCTTCACTCTGCCAGCATTTACCAAGCACCTGTCATGTGCCAGGCCCCGTGGGAGTGTTGCCGGACACAGCTGTCTGTTGGATGCGTATTTTTAAGTCCTCCCTAAGTTCACTTCTTTCTGGCTCTGGGAGGTCATGTTAGTGGCCAGGAGGGTGGAAATTTAGCTGTGTCTAGAGAATGTCCTGGACCGAGGTCTGTTGGGGGATACCAAGGAAAGAGAACATGTCCTCAAAGGTGAGGTCAGGCTATTGTGGGATGGGGTAAATAAGAAGCATCTGGAAACAATGCAGGTGATGTTGATATAGAAACATATTCTTACACAATTACATCTTTATCAAGACACCCAGAGATCACTTCTTATTAACTGCAATGTTACAGAAGTTTAGTATTTTTTTTTTTTTTAATCTCCTAGCATAAATTATTTGAAAGATTCTTGTCTTATGGATAGTGCCTTTGCAAATAGCAGAGATTTACATGTGTACGTTTTCTCCTTTTACAGGCCTCAGGAGGCAAGTAAGGGAAGCAGAAATTAACTGCTGGCTAGAATTGCTGCCTGATGGGAACTCTCTGAGTTCCCAGAAGGAGGGAAAACAAAGTTTGATTGCACAGCTATGAGGATGCTGTGCACTGATGTATTGAAGGAACTCAGAACTTGCCTGGAAAGACCACCTCAGGTCTTTAACCTCTGTACCCTGCAAAGAAAAATCTGGCCTTGAAGACGGTCAGCAAATGGGACCCCAGGACACACTGGTTTGGCATGACTGTGGTCACACCTAGGCAGGCCCACCCACCCACATCTCCCTGACAGGTGCAGACAAGTCCCACAGCTACAGCCGTGGAAAATGCATTTCTGAACTAGCCCCACCTCCCATTGAATTATTCTGTGACTGGGTGGTTGCAAAATGCTGGGAGCTGGGTGTGCTGGGTTCATGTCAGGGATAATCTGATAGCAAGGGGAGACTGTTCCAGTCTTGTGTATTTTCTAGGTTAGCATATCTTTCCCAGGTGAAGGGCCATCTTTTTCTCACTTAGCATGTCTTTGTGAGGAATGCATAACTTCAAGTTTAATAGTCTGAGAAGGAGCTATTTCTAAATGTGGTGCATGTGGCATTCTGCTTGTGCTGACTTTAGAAATAAAATCAAAAGATGACAGGGAATCTCTTCACCCCTAAGCATTCCCCACCTCACTTAATCTATGATTTATCTCTGCACTAAGCATTCTTCCTATTTTAGTTCTCTCTGAAGATCCAGCACTTTACCTGAAAGTGTGGCTGAGGTGCTGATGGAGCTGGGCAGCTGTGGAGAGTTCTAGAACAATTGAATAATAAAATATGAAATAATCCTTCATTTTTGTAAACTTCCAGAGGGGTGGACTGGGACATGTGGTGAATAAACTCTATTGTCTTTTATAAGTAAACCCGTCTGTTATAAGTAAATCCATGTTGGGTCTCACACTATCTAAGACATACAGTCAGGGGGTAAGTTTGGCCCAGGCAGAGAGGTTACAGGAAATCCCAGGGTTATGAACATCCAATTTATGGACAACTCCTTATTTCTCCTTTGTTAGGTGCCATCTAGTCAGTTCTGACCCATAGCGACCCTATGTACCACAGAATGAAATACTACCCAGGCCTGCACCACTCTCACAGTTGCTGCTACACTTGAGGCCATCACTACTGCTCCTTGAAAACCCTTTACAGAGTTGCTATGAGTCAGAACCGATTCGATGGCAGGTGGTTTGGTTGGTTGTCTACCTACCTATCCACCTATCCATTTTATCAATCCATCCTCTTTTTCTCAACCTCACAATGATGGGAGGAATCAGAAGTAATGTAAATCAGGATAATTTTTAGTTCAGAGGACTCCTTGGGAGCAAATGGGGCTGTTTGAGAGCCATTTTAGTTATTTCAGGCTGCCTACCTTTCCTCGAACATCCCATGTGCATTTACTGTTTTAAGTGGTCTCATTATGACTTAAATCCAGCTTCCCACAGGGCCTCGTCCTGCTGTGGGTACCTGGCACTGTGAACACCTGGTGTACTGTTGTGCACAGCCCACAGCATCACAATCATGGTCATTTTCCATCTCTTTAGACAAACTGTGCCTCCTCCAAGTGTTTGCTGGACGGGTGCGTTTTCTGAGCGGCCGTGCGATGCTTGATGTCACGGAACGTCTGTCAGGTAAGCAGTCTGACTCTTCTCACCTCCACAGATTTCCAGGTGATCTCTGTTTTTTTCTCCTGGTGTGTGGTTGAACTTACCTTATTGTTGTTGTTAAGTGCCAGTCAGTTCTGACTCATAGTGACCCTGTATGGGTTTTCCAAGGAGCAGCTGGTGGGTTTGAACCATTGAACCACCGATCTTGCAGTTAGCAGTCCAGTACGACTACAGGACTTACCTTGTTGTTGTTGATGTTAAGTGTCATCGAGTCAGTTCTGACCCATAGTGACCCTGTATAGAGTTTCCAAGGAGCAGCTGGTGAGCTTGAACCACCAACCTTGCAGTTCAAACTGACCTTGTGGTCCAGTACATTAACCAACAGCACCACACCAGGATTTACCTTAGACCTAGAATAATGCCCACAGACCCTTAAATATATATTAATGTTGTGTGTGTGTGAGAGAGAAAGATAGAGGGTGACCATAGATGCATTGACAAAAGATAATCTTTAATCAAAATGAGACAGGTTTATGCATAATCAAAATAATTTCTAAAAAAAACACAATTATGCTTGTTTTCCTCATTGTAAACAGGCTCTACTAGCCCACAGGGTACCATTGTATGAATTAGAGAAAGTGACCCCTTCCAGATAAAGCTTCTTGTTGTATGCATGGCTTATTGAGCAGATAGCACTGTTGTGAGAAGTAGGAAAAGCTGCAGCTTCTCTGGCTTGTGCAGCTGACAAATAAAACAAAGACTGGATTTTAATCCCACTCACCTCTAGGCCAGTTCCTGGGAGCGCACTGTGTGCAGATGGAGACTCCACCTGGAGCTGCTCTGCCCAGTTCCAGCTTCAGCTGAGAAAATTTTACAAGAATTTCCAATTCTACAAGCATTTTCTGCTTGGCATGGATACAGTCTTGGTAGATTTCTTTCCAGGACAAATCCTGCTTCTGCAGTGGCATGGAAAGGGCATAGGCCCTGGGGTCTACAGACCCATTTACTATCTGCCAACTCTGACCTTAGATGGACTACTTAGCTTAGTTTTCCCATCCTTCTGGCTCATCATCAACCCACTCTTCCTTCTTGTGAAGGCCTGTTCTAGGAAGGAAGGAAGCGAATTTAGCTTGTTCTGTAGACTTCAGAGGGCTCCCCTAAATGCTGATTGGTCATGGCTCCATCATCAGGACAGCTTCCAAGCTCCCTGGAGGAGCCCACCAGGCCCATCACTTCCTGACTGCTCACCTCTCTAGACTCTGCCCTCTCCTCCCCCTACCCCAATGACATGCCCTGTTCTTTTAATCCTTACAGCAACCCCACAAGGAGGATATAGGTCTCATGATGATCCTTTCTCAAAACTGAGGAAAGGGAAACTCAAAAGGTGAAGTGCCAAGGCCCCTTACAAACAGTCCAGGCCCGTCCTCTCTCATACCTCTGTGCCTGCCATGTGTTACTTCCTTCCTGGAAAACTCTTCTTCTCCCTTCTTCCTCCACTTGGGTGATGTCCACTTGGTTCTGGGGCCATGATCTGTCTCCCTTCTTCCTAGCATTCCTGATGGAGTTATGTGTGCCACTGAACAGCACACCTTACAGTCTTCTGGGCCTGTTGACCACAACCAGTGCCCGCCCACTGGGCGTTCAGTTGTTGTTGTTCAGGGCATTCTGTTCCAATTCATGGTGACCCAGTATAGCGTTTGTGAGAAGTGTCGGGTGGGATTGAACTACTAACTTTTTGGTTTGAAGTCCAGTGTTTATCCTGTAGTGCCACCCCACAACACTCAGTAGATGCTGACAAATAGAGATTGATTGGCGCCATGAATGCAGCAGCTCACTCCATCTCTGTGTCCTGGTTCAGTCCTCCTTGGTGTGGCCATTTACCAGGTGCCAGGCCTTCCTCAAGCAAGTGGGGTGAGAGAGCAAGACCAGTTACCACAATGTAGTGTTGTGGGGTGGTGTCCTGGGGTGACAACAGGGGTGCAAATCTGAGACCATCCTGAATCCCAGATAAAGACCCCTTCTCTGAGTGGAACCGATCTCCACTTGGATAGCTAATCTATGAGTCCCAGAGGTGAGAGAGTCTCCTCACTTTAGAGCAACCATTTGCTGTCATTTTTTCCATCTATTTCTAAGAGTTCCTCCAAAGCCTGTTACTCAGCCTGGAATAGAGGAGATCATTTCAGTTGACTAGTAACAGCACTTCTTAATAGGGACAAATCTTTTGCTAATTACTTCAAGTGCCCTTTAAGCTTGACTTTAGTGAGGTTTTTTTGCTTCTGATGACTCCCACCACAGTCTCTGTCAGCTCCTCAGTCAGGGCCTGCTCCAAGTCCTCCTTCCTGGGAAGTGAGCTTCTGAGTCAGCAAGTAAGCTTTGAGCCAAACAGAGCATGGGCTGAGGTAATGAGATTGTTATTCTGACTGAGGTGTGAGCGTCCTGGGGGCAGCATGTGCCTGGGTGTCAATGGGTCTCACTTTTCTAGATGTTCTGGTCTCAAGTACAGCTGTGTCTTAGGGTGTGGGCAGGTGGCTAAGGGAAGTGAACTCCCTCTATATCCTTAGGTGCTGGGGAAATGGGAGGGATGCCTTACCTGGGCCTGGTTCTTGGGATAGTGCTCATCTTCTTTTACAGTATAGACATTGGAAACTTTAAATTTTTTTTTAGTTTTATATGCATTTGCCATTTTCACTTTGCTATGTAGAAACATACATTCACCATGAGTCGTGTTGCAGTTGAGACTGTAATGGACAATGTATTGTTTTGAAGGCTATTCATAACTAAACACTAAATTGTTTAATTACATGGAAATTCTGTACAGTTTAAGGCTTGGTTCTGAACTAGATTGTAATTATGAGCCAGATTTGGAAATCAAACACTCTTTTATTTTTACAAGAAAGAGAAACAAAGAAAGAAAACAAAACAACAAAAACCCATCAGATTTTTCTGGAATAAAATTTCATAATATTGTAAACTAACAAAAATATAGGTTTTCTTCTCAAAATAATGATGCTTTACGTATTCAGGACTTGTTAGGGAGGCTCTGGGAAGCTCTCTCTGGATTGAACATAGACCAAAGCAGATGACAAGGCATAAATCACATTGTGATGCTCAAATCAGTACTTGCTGTTGTTGTTAAGTGCCATCTAGTCATTTCCGACTCATAGCAAGCCTGTATAGGGTTTCCAAAGAGCAGCTGGTGAGTTTGAACCATGACCTTAAGGTTCAAAACTGACATTGTGGTCCAGTGCTTTATCCCACAGCGCCACACCAGGACTCAGAAATCAGTGCTACCTCATATCAAATTAGAACACTGGAAACGTTTTTTTTTTAAGTTCTTATTGTGAATTGAGTGATTGTTTAGATGGGAGAACATCGGTTTTACACTGATTATTTCATTGCAATGATTACAATCTCCTCCATGCATCATCATTCAACAGTATTTGCTTCTCTTCCCTCTGTGTTTTTTGGATGTACACAAAAGCACTCAGGAATATATAATCATTTAAACAACCAAAGGCAAGTCTGCCTTCTGGCCGCCAGCACACAGCCTTTCTCTTTCCATGAGTCTAGAGTCCTCAGTAGCTCTAACTCTCATGTCCTCATCTCTGTCTCCATTTCTGGTGTTGCTTCTCTGGATAGGGTCCCACTCTTCTCCCTTGATGGTCCTAGGGTCCTCTGTTTCTGGACTGTAAGATTAACTACTCCCCCCTTTTTGTTACAAAACTTCTACCTTTACAGTTGTGACAATCGCAATTAGTCATGATAACAATTTTTCACTATTGAGTCATAAGAGCTTTATCCCCATCTCCTTATACCACACCCATCTAGACAAGATGAAACTATTCAGTGGGGATTCTGTCTTCCCATACACACTCTGAAACTAAACTCCCTCTTGAAAACTTATAAGCCAGTCACTTCGTGCCTTTATAGCCCGCCTATTTTAGGTAGCCAATGTCTAAATTGCCTGTCCTTATTTACCCTGTATACAGAGGGGATAGGAGTGATAACTGATATGAAGACTCCTTCCCTTTCAGTTGGTATTTTGAGCTATGACATCCATAAGTATAGGTTAAGTTCATAAAATTGTAGCAATTTACACTTGTTTCCTTTATCAAAAATTATTTTTTTTATCTTCCTCTATTTGAGTTCTGATCATCAAGCCATCAAGGCTAGGTCAAATGAGTACTGTCAACAAGTTTGGGCATTCTTGTGCATCTCCCCTCACTTCATATCAGCTGGACACTTCACTCTCAGCTCTAGCCCTCCATGGCTATGTCCTTGTCTATGGGCTCAGGAGTCCCCAGTTCTCACCACACTTCAGACCAACCAGCTCTGCCGCTTATCTGAGCATTGGAAACTTTTGACTTCTATTTTTTCAGATAGTCAGTCAGGAAAATCCATTTCCCCCCATCTTGCCTCTCATTTCCCATGCTCTTCTCTGCCTCTTGCTTCTAATCTCTGTCCTGGTAACTGTACTCTCTGTTCCCAACATGTTCCAAACGTAGAGAACAGAGCTCTCTTCTCTTCAAGCAGAGCACCTTTTTGTTCAAGGGCCTTTCTTTCTGGAAACTCTGATGTGGTTGCACTGACTCAATAGTCCTACCTTCTCTGTGGGAAAAGAACACCTTTGCCGAACCTTCTTGGGTCAAAGAGAGTCTGGGATATTTGGAGATCCATGTTGGGGCTGCACAGAGTGGGATGTAAGAACCCTGAGGGTATGGCCTGGAAGTTAACAGACCCATTCTGTAGGAAATATTATTGAAAGGGTATTGGGCTGAGCCGAGGAGGTAGTAAGGTCACCTACTGGACACTTAGGCTGGCAGTAAATGAGGGGGACCCCAAGGGATTTCTGATGGAAGATGTTCTGAGGAACTGGGTGAGTTAAGTTTCCAAGTGGAGGACAAATTGGGGGTTTCAATAAAAAAGAAAGCAGAACTCCAGACTAGTCACTGAAAAGTGAAGCTCTTAGTAGGGAACAAAGATACAAGCTTGGGTGGACACTGAGTTCTCTCAAGGATGATCGAAAAATTGTGACAGGTAAACAACGTAATGAACAGAGCATCAATGAATTATTTGAAGATTGTAGAAGTGGAAAATGTTTTATTATATATTTACCATAATAAAAAGTATATATACAGACATAAATCTATAGAAAAACAATCTAAAAAATAGATCCCGTAGAGTGGTAAGAGGTGGTGAGGGCTGGAGAGAGCATGGACTTTGGAGACAAGACAAGTTCAGCTTTGTCTCATCTCTGCCCTGATTACCTGTGCTGTCCTTGACTCTGAGCCTTGGTTTCCCCCACCATAAACTAGTGGGAGCCCTGCCTTTCCTGGCCCAGGGAGTGTTCCAGTTCTTATGCCCCATAAATAAATAAAGCATTGCTCTCAGCATTGTTGACCACCACCAGCACTTATCCTTTGGCAGGATGACAGGTAGAGCGCATTGATTGTAATACCAACATTGCTCCACTAATGCACTTAGAGCAGCTCATCCCCAGCTGCAGGAGGGAGACGCCCCTCCCCAGTGGGGTAGCAGTCCCATGGCTCTGATGTTGACTGGAGCAGGTACTTGGGGATGGAGGACTTACTGGTAGGTCCAGCTGGCTTCTGCGTTCTCCAGAGGAGAAAGGTGTTGGAGTTTTGAAGCATTGGATTTCTGTTTAAGGTGATGGGGAACTTGTCAACAGATATTGAGTGATGGTTGCTCAACATGATTGATGTAAGTGGTTTCTCTGAATTATACACATGAAGATATTGAACTGGCAAACATTGTGTTATATGTATGCATTTACAACAATACAAAGGAAGAAGAAAAACAAATTGCAAGAGGGGAAAAAAAGGGATGGAGTGGAAAACTATTTGTAGATTTAATAACTTAATATTTTACAAGGCCATTAAATTATTACTAACTTTTTTATGTGATTTAAAAAAAGATTTGGGGTAACCAGATTTGGGGGCTCATCACCGGAATGAAATGTCTGTGTGGAGCATGATGGGTTACAAAACACTTCCATGCTTCATGTACTGCAGCTGGTCTTGGTACTGAGGAGGCCAGACTGGTTTTATTTCCCGATGGTGGTTGTATTTGCAGAACGATTTCTTCTGTGTGTTTGGATGCTCATAGGTGCCAATGTGGATTAAAACAATGCTAGTTCTAATACTGGAAACTAGTCACATGCCCGCCCACAAGGCGCCAAGCTTGTTAGTACACTTCATTATCAAATCCCTAAAACAACCTTAAAAGCTTGGTCCAGGATCATAATCTTTATTTTAGAGATTAGGAAACAGGTTCAGGATGGTTAGGAGGCGTGTTTACACTCACACAGCTGGGAAGTAGAGGAGGCAGGATTGTAATCCAGGTGTGGCTCCGCTTTCCTCTTCCTTGAGCCAGTTGGGACTCATTTTTACTGTCATGGACTTAAAGATTTTTTTTTTTTTTTTTTTGGGGGGGGGGGTGTCCATGTCCACTTTACCTTTGTAAACCCCTGCTTCCTCAGAATAAAAGTTATATTTTACAATTGATTTGAAATAAAAAGACATTTTTATGGGCCTCTAAAACTGCCCTGGGTACTGTGCACAATGGAGAAGTCAGTCCTGGGGACCACATTGTTGGTGTCTCAAGAGAGGGCCGTGGGAGAGGAGAGAATGTGACTCAGTAGCTCTTCCTTTTCTGCTCACAGTGCTGGTGACCTCAGTTTACTCCCGGAAGTCTCAGGCTGTGGAGCGCCACGTCCTGCCTATCCTCTGGTACTTCCTGAACAACATGACGGGAAACGGTGTCCTGCCTGGGCACAATGGAAACGTGCGCGCCGCTGTGAGCCGCCTGGCCAGGAGCCTGCGAGAGCAGATGGGTCCCCGGCTGCAAGACTTCGCCGCTGGCCAGCCAAAGCATGTCCTCAAAACGCTCCAGGAGCTGCTCGACATGGAATCCCTATGAGACAGACCATGCAACACAACAGACAGCTCATGTCCCTTTCAGCTGGCTTGAAGAGCGATCTGAAATGGGCAATCATTATTTTTTTATTTTATTTTTATGATGGACTACTCTCCCAGGATATGTTCTCTTAGAGCTTCAGATGTACATAGTCTATTTTGAAGTAGAAATTAAATACTTGCTTATTTTTCTAAGGTTTTATGAGCTTGTACTTTTTGTAACCTTGGAGAACTTGACACTCCTTAGCTTTGGGACAAAACAAAGTATAGCAACAACAGTGGATAAGCTAGGAAGAAAGACGCAGCAGAAACCTGTCTGTATAGGAAATGTTAAAAAAAAAAAAAAGCACTAATATCAAAACAGCAAGGATGACTTTAATTTAAAAAGGATTGTTCTAAGGACAAGGAAAAGACTAAGCGAAGGGAGGGAAGCCACACCACCAATGGAAGGAGGAAAGAACAACTCCTACTCCCCTGGGATAAAGACTTCTGAAGCTTTAAAAAGAAAGTTAAGTGGTTTTGATCACTGGCATGGGGAGTGATTTGACAAGGCTGCAATTACAGCCATTTTGTTTAGAGTAACTTCCTATGCTGGAATACATGATCCTGGAAAACCTACAGGAAGGGAAGAGATGAGATTCTATGGTTTTGTGTCTAGACTTTGTAAAGCCTGAGGGAGAGAGGAAAGTTGGGCAGATGAAGTAGGAAAAAGACTCCCGGTGTGGCGCTGTAGGATCAGCACTGCACTGGAACCACAAGGTCAGCAGTTCAAACCCACCTGCTGCTCCTTGGAAATCCTATACAGGGTTGCTATGAGTTGGAGCCAACTTGACAGCACTTAACAACAACAACAAAGTTTGTTTGGAGCCAGTGGTAGTTCAGTGGTAGGTTTGTTGCCACTCATATGGGAAACCTGGGTTCAATTCCTGGCCAATGCACTTCCTGTCCAATGTACTTCCTGTCCATTTATCTGTCAGTGGAGGCTTGTGTGTTGTTATGATGCTAAACAGGTTTCACTGGAGTTTCCAGACTAAGACAGACTTGAAAGAACTATATGGATCACAACTGAATCACAACCATCGGATCCCCAACCAATCATGGGGATGGTGCAGGACCAGGCTTGGTGGCAGTTAACAATAACCAAGCTTATTTAAATGGAAGAGAGCTTTTAGTCTATCTTGGTCAGTTGTTTGTAGTGAGAAATTCTCTGGAAGAAAAGTGTGGAAAGATCTCTTTAGCCACTAAAATTAAAGTAAACAAGATTAATTAACCAAAGTTAAAAGTAAATTTTTACTTTGTAGCCAGCTGAAAATCCAGAGCCTCTGATTTGGTAATTGAAATCCAGTTCAGGTGTTATGGGTCTGATTTGAAGCGACTGTAACAAACATTTCCAAGAATATTGTGCTTCTGGCTTGCAAAACATTCAGTGCCATGTCTGTTTGGTCCTGTGGGAACCTAGTAGGATCTGTCTAGCTTACCAAAAGGCAGAAATAATCTGATATTTGCCTTATGAAAGCCTTTCCTAGAAGCTGTCATGCTGGCTAGTTCTGAAGAGTACTCAATTTTGTTTTATACTTGAAATACCATAAGTGACTTGGTGGAGAATAAGGAACTACACAGTACACGGGTGTCATGCAGGGGTTCAGAAACTGCACAGATTCCCCCAGTTGGACCATAACACGGAGCTAGAGAGGTGAGTAGGATACTGGCTGGATCATGAGCTGGTCACTGACAGCACAGCTAGAGAAATGGGGTCCTGGCAGCTGGAGGGAGATGCCCTAGGTCTGGGCTCTGCACACAGTAGGAGTAGCTCTCTCTTGACTGGGGCCAGTGTGACTAGAAGAATTAGAACTGAGTTCATCCCCTCAGACATACAGGGGAGACAGACCTGGAGCAGTGAAATCTAAAATGAGCACATTCTAATTTTTGCTGAGGAGTCAGGATCTGAGAGCCCAGACTCATACCAGATCCTCATGCCAACAACGGTCCTGGGATGCTTCTCCACTGGCACCCACCTGCATGTCTGACATGAGGTCCACATCTCTGTTCTGAGCTTCTCCAGAGGAGTCTGGCACAGAGCAGACTGGGAAACCCCTGTATATTTCATTCATATATTTCCCAGCCCTGTGGATGTCCCTGGGCTGGGAGTCCCACTTTCCATCTCTGCCTGAATTGCCAGGTATAACTAGGGGCCAGGGCCCCTCCCAATGCCCTAGGAGAGAGGTTAGACACTCAGCTCATCCTGGGACTTTAGCTTTTAATCTGCAGCTTAAATGTGACTTTGGGTAATTCCTGGTGCAAGCTGATTTTCACCTAATAGTGACCACAGCAGGGACTCCCTGTAACCACATTGCTTTTTATTGATTTGATCAAACCAGGCAAAAAGCAAGCTAGATAGGGAGCCAGACCAAGATGCTGAGAGGCTAGCTTAAACTGTTTTAAAAGTTTTACATAATTTAACTATTTGTGTTTGGGGCTGTTGAGTGTTGGGCTGCTAACTGCAAGGTAAGCAGTTCAATACCTCTGGCTGCTCTGTAAGAGGAAGATGAGGCTATCTGCTTCCAGTCTCAGAAACCGGATATAGTCAGAAACCCGAGTCAGAACTGATGAGATGGCAGTGAGTTTGGTTTGGTTTTTGGCAGCCTGAGTAAACTTTTTGTTCTGGTTGGGAGACAAGCGTTTCCTGATTGTCAGTTTGTATTTGTGTGGTGCTGTGATTCTTGAAGCTATGCCACTGATATTTCAAATACCAAGGAGTCACCTATGGTGGGCAGAACTTCCAGACTAAGACAGACTAGAAAGAGTGTCTTGGTAATCTATTTCTGAAACTTAGCCAATGACAACTCTATGGATCACATGAGAATATTGTCCATCTAGAACTGATGTAAGGCCCCTGGGTTGGAGGACAACAAAATGTACAGAAGCCCCAACAGTGACCATGGCACAGGACTGGGCAATATTTCATTCCGCTGTATTCAGGGGAACAATGGGTCAGAGCTGATTTGATAACTAGTAACAAGAAGGCCCTAGAACTTACCAGAATCTTCTAGGATATTTTATAGCTATCAGAATCCCAGGGACGTTGAGTTTGGCAGGAAGGTTGAAAGCAGAAATTCCCTCTTTCTGCCTGTCTTCAAGCACTAAGCTTCCATCTCTTGTATTCTGCACCTGCCCTCATGGTGGGAAATGTTTGCAACAAACCGTTGAGAAGCAAAGACAGAATCTTCACTTCGTTTTACTTTCCTTCACTATGGTCTCAGGCTGCTTTGGCTCTGCTGGCCACACCCCTGGCACAGTACTGCTGGGGAGGGGCTGGGTGTTTCTGGTGTGCCTTGGGAGATTTCTGTCTCAAAAGATTTCCCTACATCATTACTTTTAAAACAAAGGGACGACAACATGTTAGTAACCTGGGCCTGGGCCTGTTGGGAACGTCTGCAAGAATGAGTCCTAGTGGAAAGACCCATCTTGTGAGAGGAAAGTTTTCCTAAGAACAAGGGTGCCTTTGGGCTGAGTGCACTCTATTCTTTGCTAGGTTAGGGGAAGCAGCTGGGAACTTTATTTACTTAAAGTGCTCTAGGGCTGTGAATGTAGCTATGGAAGATTCGTCTTTCTCTTTAGTGTGAAAATCACAGGCCAAAGACTTGTCTGATAACATGTAGCTGCTAGGATTTGCTTTTCTTATCAAGTGAAATTTTTGAGGTTTTAGGGAAGTCTTTCTGTAGGCTCCGTCTTTCCTATAGTTGAGATTAAAAAGAAAAACTTTTGGTGTCTGAACCCCACCCTGAGAGATTCAGTTGGTTGGAGTGAGGTCCAGGAAACTGTATTTTCGTTTTCTTTTTCAAACACCCCAGGTTATTCTAATGGATGGTCAAAATTCAGAAACCACAGTGAAATCGAAGGTGAAGAAAAGTAGCCGTGGCTATGGCCTTGTGGAGTCTGGTCTGGATCCCTCTTTGCCTGCGTGGCCTGGGTTTGGGGAGAGAAAGTGAAGGTGGGTCCTGGAGGCAGAGAGGCTGGGACTCAAGTCCAGGAACTGCCACATGTTGGGTGTGGTGTTGGACGAGTTTGCCAACCTCTCTGATCTTTGCTTTCCTTATGAGAAGCGGCAGAGAATAACAATGTTAAAAATAATCAAACCTTAAAGAAATTGAAGCATGAGGTTTATTTAAGAGTCTATACGCATATGTTGTTGTTGTTGTTAGTTGGTTTTGACTGACAGCAACCGTATGCACAACAGAATGAAACACTGCCTGGTCCCAAGCCACCCTCATGATTCCTGTCATGACCCCATTGTTGCTGCCAATGTGCCAATCCATCTCATTAAGGGTCTTCCTCTTTTATGCTGATCCTCTACTTTTCCAAGCATGATGTGCTTTTCCAGGGACTGATTCCTTCTGACAACATGTCCAAAGTACAAGAGACAGAGTCTCACCATCCTGACTTCTAAGGAACTTTCTGTCTGTACTTCTTCTAAGACAGATTTGTTTGTTCTTCTGACAGCCCATGGTACTTTCAATATTCTTCCCCACACTGTAATTCAAATGCATAGATTCTCCTCTGGTCTTCCTTCTGCATTGTCTAACATATGTGTTGCCATGAGTCCATTGATGTTGCCGCTTTGCCAATTTATCTCACTGGGGATCTTTTTTTTTTCTGAACCTTTACTTAACTAAACATGATATCCTTTTGCAATGACTGTTCCCTCTGCCCAACATATAAAGTGAATGAAAATACCATGGCTTGGGTCAGGCACACCTTAGTCCTCAAAGTGATATCTTTGCTCTTAGGTCTTTTGAAGCAGATTTGCCTAATGCAATATGTTGTCATTTGATTTCTTGACTGCTGTTTCCATGAGTGTTGCTTGTGAATCCAAGCATAATGAAGTCTTTGACAACTTCAACCTTTTCTCCATTTCTCATGATGCTGATTTTATTGGTGTAGTTGTGAGGCTTTTCGATTTATTTACATTGAGTATATGCGTATAGAGAGACCATTTTTACCCAG